AAAAATAATATACATGATATTTGAAGTAGATGAGACGAAAATACTATTTAAATTAAGGTTGATGCTTAAATGTGTTACACTTTTGCAACAACAAATGAGCAGTGTTGTCAAAATCGTGATTTAAATCGTAAAATTATGTGATTTTACGATTTCAGGAAAGCATTTTTGGTAAAATCATAGTCAAAATCGAAATTTTGTAAAATCGAAATTTTGTGAAATAGGGGGGTAAAATCGTAAAATTGTGATTTTACGGTAGAATCGGATAAAATCTCGATTTTACCCCAGTTGAAGAAGCTGGACCATTTTCTCTTGGGTTAATGGGCTTTGACCCAACAACCCTGAAATTAAACCCATTTCTTATTTTAAAAGCCCATAACCACAACCCTCAACCGAATCCAACAACCATTGCACTCTCCAGTCCAGCCAACACATGCTTTTTTATTGGGCCAGCTAAACTTACTTAGCCATGAATTGATGACCTCTCTGGAAACCAACATAACGTAGCCCAATGAAAATAGAGTGGTGTTCCAAGCATTGCTCTTGTGTTTTTTCATATATATATATATATATATATTTGTTTTTTTAATTTTTGAATAAAGGAAGGAAATGTATTTTAATTTAAAAAATAATTTTTTAAACAAATATATTTTTAATTTTTTATATTATAATTTATTATAATATTAAAATTTAATTTTTATTAGAGTTATTATAAATTTTAATCTTATATTTAATTTTTTATTGTTAAATCTTAATTATATTAATTTAAAAATATAAATTTTTATTATTTATTTATTAAATTTAGTAAAATTTTGATTTTACCGATTCGATTTTACATTCTCATTTTACCTACCCAAAATAATTTTAAGTAAAATCTCGACAACCTTGCTCCTAGCCCCCGCTTGTCCTTAGAGAGCTAGTTTAGCTACTCAAAGTCAAACAGTCAAATCTGAACACTAGTTTGTGATTCTTCCTGTATACTTATCCAATTTGAAAATATTATA